TATATATGTGCGTATATATACCTGCAGCGACAACCTCTTGTTAGGAGGGGAAATATACTGATCTTCTGCTGTCTTCCATGCAGGTAACCCAGGTGTGGTGGGCTTCTACAGAACCTTCATGCAAACACTCCACAGTATGTTTGGATACCGCCACCCAGTGTGGGCTGTGAGCCATGCTGGTCACTGTGCACCACCAGACTCCATGGACATGGTAGAAGGTACAGATTTTTCTCAAGTTCTTAACACCTTGGTGTTCGCATGCTAATCTAGGTACACTGGAAGAGAGAACATGAATAGCTATTAGTGCCCAACCAGCACAGGATTTTAGAGACCAATTTAAAAGGGAAAAAATTCACTGATGGCATTCCATTTAGTTTTTTTTTTTTCCTGTTGAGCTGGAATGAATAAAGTCCATTTCTAAGTGGACTGCCCAGCGATATGACGAGGCAAAGGTACTCAGAAGGCTGCTGTCTTTAAAAAAAAACTTTATTAAAGAATATTCAAATTATTATACACTGTCAACCAATTCTAAAAATAAACAAATGACTGGATTTGCTAGACCCCTGGCTTATCTTTGCTTTGCAGGTTTTGCTAATGTAGAAACATAAATTTAAAGGTCTGGAGCTGGGCCAGAAAGCTCGTGAAGATTTCTGCTGAGTCGTCTTTTTCTTAAATCCTTCCCCCTTGGAGCTGAAACATAGCGGTGTCACATTTCTGCTGAGTCTCCACTTTTTTTCCTTTCATCCTAGCCTCCATAACGGTGTCACATTTCTCCATTCTTCCCTAAAGCCAGCCTATCTACTTGCACTCATAATGCTTTCCTGGGCAGTCTAAGACCGCCTCCTCTTACCAGAGTCATATCAGGACAAGATGGAATTCCCCTAACTTTCCACCAGTGTTTCTGAGCCCATCCTCATGCTCATTACGCGTCGCCGCTGAAACGAGTATGTTCGGGCCTTTAGGCCTATATATAGCCTCTCTTTGGCGTTTGAGCAGCTTTATAAAACTCTTGAACATGTAATGGCTCCTTAATTAGCAAGTTGACTTTACATAGACGGCATATCTTTTCAATTTCTCCTGACATTGTGTTGTTTGGTTTGTTCACCGCTCGGCCCGAACATACTCGGGCGGAACATACGCGGAACGGATTCCGCGGAGGTCCACGCGGACTCAAAGCGGACGTCCGCAAGCCCTGTGCGCGCAAAGCTCAGATTTTACGACTGCACGGACTCTGCTCCGCGCACCAGTGACTGCTCGGCATGTATTTTTCACATCGCCGGGATTTTTCACGGACATTTTTAGAGGAAACTACAACGCGGAAGTGCGCTCGACTATGAAAGCCCGAATGACTACGGACATTCCTCGCGGAGTCCGCTCCGCTTATAGTACGCCCGAGTATGCTTGTGTCGAGCGGGCTGAGGCGTTGATTCCCCCCCCGGCTCTCTCACTAAGCAGCCTCCCTCTGTCTCCTCTCACTCAGCCTCGTTCAGCCTCGATCTCGTCAGCATGCTCCACACACGCGCTACCAGAAAAATGAAAAAATGTTTCAATCACACCCGGAATAGTGATTGCTGCAAAGTTTTCACTCCTTGTGATGCACTCTCTGTGGTGGTTTTCCTCATGATGATGATGGTGATGATGATATATCTCTAGCCTCCACAGCGATGGTAGCACCAAAAAGATTCCACCTCCGTAGGCATAGGTTGGCAAGCCCCGCAGCTACACCACCAATCCTCCCCTGACCTCCATCTCCCCTCGGCCCTTACTGTTCCGCTGCCTCGGAGGATTCAGCCTCTCTTCTCACCTGCTCAGCATCTAACACCTGGAGTTCCTCATCTGTATACTCCGGCTCAAACAGGTATGGCTCTGGATCTGTGTCCGCTACAAGAAACTTTTCAAAATGGCGTTCAAAGTCGTCCATTGCAGCTACTATAATCTGGAGATATCGTTAGGCTAAATAAACAACTGAGTTTTGTTTACAGGCTACGCCTGTGCCTGCTCACCGGTGTATCCCTCCACGGATCACAGCGCAGGATGTAAACACACTATAGTTCGGTGTATCAAACTTCTTCTAAAACGACTAAAAAGGACTCTCATTTTTCGAATTAATGTTTAAATATGTTTATTTTAAATGCACGTGCAAAAAAAACAGCTTCAGGGTTTCTGTAATTTTATTTGTTCACTTTTTCCGAGTAGGGTACTGACCCCCTATAGACTTCAATTGTATTCGCTAAGCTAAGTCGCAATGCTAACCACTGAGACCCAGCCACTGGACGTACAGACACAAAAAAGATATCGATCATGTTGTCTCACTATGAAAATGATAGAGAAAGGGCATAACTCCCAAATCGTCAGAGTATTCTTTTAAGCTGGGCATTTTTAGTATGGATATTTTAAAGATTTAGGGATAACAATTGCCTTTAAATGATGTTTTATGCATAACATTGGTCTGAAAAGTAACTAGTAACTAAACTAAGCACAATAAGTAAGGAAATTTGTGTTTGGTAGATTATTCCTTTGTTGTAACAATGCTTCTTGGCAATAAATATTGTACCATTGGAAAGCCTGTTTATTTCCCTTTTTAAATGGTGCCACATTTGTAAGGAACATGCCTTTGTGGGATGATCAGCAGAGCTGAGTATGTGGGCTGCGCCCATGAAAAATTTCCCAAATGTTCTCTGCCAATGCCAAACGGCTCTTTTTTTGCTGTTGTTTGGTGGATTGGATGATTGAAGTCTGAAAAAACAAGACACATTGGCAATTTAACAATTTATTCATTTAAGCCTCAGTAGCATGTGAAAGAACCATACACAGCCACTACAGCCTGGCACCTCCTCCTCATGCCAGTCACCAGCCTGGTCACATACTGCTGTGGGATGGCAGCCCATTCTTTAACCAGCATTTGTCACAAGTCAGCTGACATGGTTGTGTTGGTCACTCTGGCACGAACAGCATGCCCAAGCTGATCCCTCACGTGTTCTTACAAATGTGGCTACATTTAAAAGGGAAATAAACAGGCTTTCCAACGGTATAATATTTATTGCCAAGAAGCATTGTTACAACAAAGAAATAATCTACCAAACACAAATTTCCTTACTTTTTGTGCTTATAGTTTAGTCACTATAGCTGTGAAATAAATGTAGTGGAGTAAAAAGTACAATATTTCTTTTCTGCAATGTAGTTTATGTAAGAGTAGAAGTAAAAAGTAGCAGAAAATGGAGATACTCAAGTAAAGTTGAAGTTGCCTTGTTTTTGTTTGTTTTTTTTAATTTAATTTTGTTTTTCAAAATATACAAACCACACAGTCACAAATTGACAATACAAAAGCACCCATCTAATATTACACTTGTCTCAAAAATAAATTAACAGGCAATAAAATAAATTAGCACAGAACAATTAAAACAATTTAAACTACTAAAATTAAGTAAAACAATACACAGGGGAAAAGGGGGATTTGAGAGATAGGATAACATTAACCACAAAAGAATGGTCTTTATAACACTAGCATGGTGAAAATAGAGACCACGCAGACAATCATTCAGTATGACATGGGAGATTCTCCATGTAGTTGATAAAAGGCTGCCATATTTTATAGAAAAATGGATCTTATTTCTTGGTGAGTAAGTTACCTTCTGAGGTATGCAACTGTTCGCTTCTGAAAACCACAGTCCAACTGGCAATGGGAGATATGACATCCATCTCATTGCTGTACATTTTTTGGCAATGGCCAGTATGACTATGTATGATAATAGACTGCAGCAGGTTGCCAGAAGGCATCACCACATCTAAAACATGGTGAGGAATTAGGGTTAAACTCAAGTCTGATAAAGAAAATTGAACTGAATTAAATGATATCTTGAATTTAGTGTAACACCATTGCTACATAGGTCTCTCTACAGTACTGGGTCAGTCTCTTTATCTAAATCCCACCCCACCTAAGTCTAGATCTTTGTGGTTCAGAAATTTAGAGACACAATAACAGGTCTTCATAAACCTTCGAGATGGTTCTAAACGTTGGTTGACTGTCATGAAATAGAAGTTCAATGGGTAACCTTTATTCTTAATCTAAATTTTTAACTGTAAGTGTTTTTTAAAAAAAAAGTCTTTTGTAAGGTGGTTGATGTTTTTATGCCTCCGCGCCGGCAATAGCTGTGGCCAGAGGCATTATGTTTTTGGGTTGTCTGTCAGTCTGTACATACGTATGTACGTAAGTCCTGTTCTTGTGAATGCAATATCTCAAGAAGGCTTTGAGGGAATTTTTTTCAAATTTGGCGCAAATGTTCACTTGGAGTCAAGATGAACCATGATAAGGCTAAATTACGATTAAACATTAAATTTAAGAGATTAGAGGAGCAGCATATGCTGGACCCATCCAATTTAGATTTGAGGAACTCTGTCCTCACCACCAGGGCAAATCTGCAGAGGTTTAGTCATGAAGAGACCGCATTTGCTCTTTTCCGCTTGCATGGATTGTACTTCGAAACTGAAGATAAGGCAGGGAGGATGCTTCCCCATAGAGGATAGGCAGACAATTCCAGCAATTAGAGATGAGAACGGTATATTACAGTGTGATGCAGAAATAATTAATCAATCTTTTAAAAATAATTTCTTCAAACTTTATAGTACAGAAATTAATGTCAATGAAGCCGATCTGGACAGTTTCTTTAAAAGGACTCAGCCTTCTGAGAGTCACTTCAGCTGATAGGGATGCCCTTTCTGTCCCTGTAGCACAGTCTGAGATTGAGACTGAAATCCTGAAGATGGCTTTAGGAAATACTTCAAGGGAGGATGGCCTGAGAATAGAATTCTATAAGTGCTTTAAAGAGCAGCTCTCTACATTTTTACTGTTTATAATGCTGTGATGGTTTGAGGTAGAAGTTTTTTGTTTTAAATTGTTTAGTTTAGGCTAGTCTTGTTTTTCTGGGGTGCCAGCCAGGGGCCTGTATCACGAAGCAGGATTAATGTCTTAGCGAGGTAACTTCAGGGTCAACCCTGGGTTTTCGGTCTCACGAAGCCGGTTCAGTTCTTATCGGGGTAGATCACCATGGTAACTTACTCTGAACGACTATCCTGCTCCGGAGCAGGGTAAGTTCAGGGTTGAATCTGATCCTATAAAAAGCACCACCCACTGGCCAATCGGCTGTTCGGAAAAAAATGACTCTGCTGACAGAAATGCAGCCCAGTCATGATGGGAAGTTTAATTAATTTGATTGATTTT